TACATAGTACATAATTTTTGTTTTGTTTTGAATTATAATTTTAAGATATAAATATTGAACAACATGTTTCAAATGAAATAGACAAACTTATTCATTTCCTTGTATAAATAGCAGTGTTTGCGTCTTTTGTTAATGATGTTTGGGTAAATGAAAATTCTACCTTTATTTCCTTGTAACGGTGGACTAACAATCGAGTCATTGAACTCGTACTCCATGCAATATTTTTTTAAAAAAGTGGTTCCAAAATTGAGTATCCACATTATGGTCTTACTATCAACCAATGTTATTAATGTATACTTCGCCAACATAGTTTTCTCGCATGCATAGCATGGTTATACGTAAAGATAAAGTGTATCTAGATATATTTTTTTATAGATGATGGAGACCAACGTTGGTTTTGTGTTTTTTTTTTCAAAATATTCTTGAATGCTTTTGATATAGTAAGCTTCTAAATTTCCGGCTAATAAACAGTTGGTCATGAGATCATTATACTTTATTAAAGATGCAAGTGGATAGATGGTCAAGTCTGAGTTTTAGTTTCTTGTAAATATGAGTGTCTTTAGCAGCTTCAGTTAGTGTTGGAGATAACTGAGTTGGAGATAATTGCATGACATGTTGTGTGATGGCAAAGTCGAACCTGCACAAATTCTTATTAAACATTTGCATGGAGCCTCCACTTTTATGTGCCCCCATTTTTTCTGTTGGTTTAGGTATAGCTAGTTTTCAATTTGAAATCAATCATTTTTTTAGGTATCATAAGTTTTTTATAAGCTTTAAAATAATTGTACACAATAATCAGCAAAAAACCATCAAAAATTTCACACAAAAGAGATAGCCATAGCTTAAAAACTTAAAGTGTTGCTTTGTTATTTATTGACTCGATGAATTTTTCTTTACTGACTTGATGGAGATCTCTTTGTCGTAAACCGATGTGTTTAAGAAAATATATATAATAAATTATGTTTTATAATTTTTCTATTAGCTTAATTAAATAAGATAATACTTTAAGGAATTTGCTTTATTATTTTGGTGATTTTGTTAATATAATGGTTTAAAGAACAATCACAACCAGTATGATAAAAACTAAAATTTCCCGTCATACACTGAACCAAACCAAATATAACTTTTCATACTTTTCAACATATGAGATTAACGTAACAGACGAAATATAGTTTGTGTTGTATTATACGATATCCAACTTCTTCACACATGTTTATCAGTATATGTTCTAAGCGACAATTTACTATGAGTTATAGTACCACTAAAAACTGAAAAGGTAAAAAAGAAACTCAGATTTAATAGTTAGATTAGTTTTCTAAATGAAGCTATAAATGGAAATTTACTTCCAGTGAGATCATTCTTCTCAAAAATGAAAGGTAATTTTGTCTACATAGTTGTTAAAGGAATATGTGCATTATGTTCTTAACATATAATATAATAGCTATATTTCTTGTTGTAGTGTTTATTTTGGTCATCAACATAATTATTTCCCAACCCAATTAAGTCCAAAAAGATTAGATTTTATTTCTTTGATGTTTCTCATTGCGGATGAACTTTAAATGATGAATTTACATTAAAAGGTTGAGTAAATTTTGTTTCCAATCAATATAGACATTACATTTTAGTCTTATATTTTAGTTTTCATAGAAGGAGCATCAAATTAACTTTACATGAGGCAGTTTCTACTATGATTTACCATCAATCGTCAACTAAAAACTGGCATACAAATTCATATACTAACAAATAGGCAACTGAGAGCATCCGCAATGGCGGATCCTTAAGGGGAATCCTTAGGAAAAAAGAAAAAGGGGTATTTTGGATTATGTAAGGGTATTTCAGATTTTTTCTTTAAAAAGAAAAAAACTGACCATTCACGGACCGCCACGTGTGCAGTGGAGCCCATGAATAGTGTAAGGATCAATCCTTACATAAGGATTTTTAGGATAAAATCCTTAACTGTTCATGGGACCCATTGATTATAAAATTTATATTTCTCTAAGGATTCCCCGTAAGGATTCGCCATTGCGGATGGTCTGAAAAGGAAACACAATCATCTAAAAAGCATACTTATTGCTAAAAAAACATCAATAAAAAGCAGACTGCTGCAAAAATATCATAAACAATAGAGTTTATAGATAGATAGAACTCTAAAATTATCTACTTTAGAAAAGAAACAAAAAATCAGAGCAGGATGGAGAAGAAACGTCATTCCTCTGCATCTTTAAGTCAATTCAAAAATGGCTCTAGGATTTTCACAAAGGTTTGGCTGCAACATTCACCACAAAATTTAGAAAAAAACGTCACCCAAAATCCTTCGAGGCCAAATAAGTTTTGTCTTGAAACCAAGTTGGGAGATGAAATGTCGTACATAATTCCCATGGACTAACATGTTCTCTTGAGTAGTTTCCTTTACAGAACAAATGGAGGATGGTGTCTTCAGGGAGAAGATAAAGGTCACGACCTTATTTTTTTTCTGGGAAAAATTGCGTCCTCATGGCATTATTGCATTTGGACTTTGTACACCAACTCCAGCTCTAGCTTTATGCTGCTGCAGAATGTGTTCAGAAGTGGAGACCATGTTTTCACCTAGTCAACAACCAAGAGATAAATAACGTGACCATACATAAAAAGGAACAACATAATAGGGATAACAGAGGCCATTGCTTTCATTGTATAATACAATTTTTCTCTAGTATATACTGACTTCAGATTATTCACAACAGTTGATAAAAAGAGCTTACTAAAGAAAGTATGGCTGCTATTATAAGCTAACCAAAACATAATATCACACTTGTATCTTTGACACAAGATATATGATAATTGGTTTCTCTTGGGTTAAAAGCGAAACCCTTTTCTCTTAGGTTTCAGAAACGATAAATGGATTCGCATACTTGAAGGAAGAATTTGACACTACAGAAAGCATTAATCAAAATGAATTCAAAGCTAAATCATCAACAAAATCAGAACTTTATTTCAAATTCAAACTTTTTATCTACACATATCAAATCTATGAATCTCAAGATGGATGCAACAAAACTTGGTAATCATTAACGGTGAGTCTCTCTGCCCAAAAACTTGTATTGGAGATAAAGACACAGTCATTGAGAAGTTAGTTATCAATGAATAAGCTACAAACATACGCAAAGGTCACATCTTTATCAATCATATCATCATTGTATCAGTGATCCTCAACGAATCGATCAAAAACGAAAATTGAATGGATAAGGAACGAACCGTTAAAGATACTGGAGCGGGTAGAAGATTTAGAGTAGCCGCATGTGGATGTATTGTGCCCACAATCTGCGACTATGATCGGGGAGATTCCGATCGAATTAAATCAATGAGAGTCAACTGTGGCTCTTATAAATCTAAAACCTTTTCCTCTCATTTTCTCTACAATAGAAATCGGAATGAATGTATTGTCGAGAGGGTTAACCAGAATCAGAGGTTCTTACATTCTCATCAATCAGCAACATGTTAACACTTATTAGTTCCCCGGCTCTGTTGCTATTTCTGGCCTCCTAAAAATGGAGTAGTCGCACCTCCCCCGTGTCAGCGCAAAGACCGGCCTTCAAATCAGCGAGGAGAGTGTAGGAGGTCGCCATGGCAGGAATCGGTAGTTAGAACAAAGTTTTCTTCTGGATGTTGTTTGAGTTGCGTTGTTCATGGTTGGAGGGTGTGATATTTATAATCGAACACTTGCCGGTTTGTGTGGTAGGCGAAGAGATGAACTAAATGCGTCCCAGTGTGATAATAATGTAAAAGCTCAGAGTTAATTACATATTAATGCGAGGCTGAGGCGTTACAGTGTTGAGATCGTGGTTTGCGGTTCCTAAGTTCAAGCGATAAGTCGATGGAAGAGGGAATGAAGAAGAAGCAAAGACCGAAAATATTTTTGGACCTTTCAATAAGATTACAAAATCAGCCCAGCCCAAGAAAATATACAACAGGTTCAAACCGTGATTTAATTTAGACAACCGGACAAATACATGATGAAGTCTGGAGAGTGTCTTGGTTTAATGTTGGACCTTTAAATATTGTAAAAAAAACAGCAAAGCCCAACATACTATAGAACATACCAATATGGAATTGAAAAAGAAAACCGGACGGGACGCGATTGAATTAAAATTGAATGCTTGGGTTAACTGCTGACGTGGCTTTTTTTGCCCCATCCTATGATGCTAAATTGGATACCCTATGAAGGGAGAAAACTCAACTTTATTGTATAAGATAGGAGGATAACAAAACACTTCTATTCACAATTTCAGATACATTTAATTCATGGACGTCTTGCTTCAAAAAAATTGAATATAAAACTAGGTTACAATCAAAGTTTAAGTATATATTAAGTTTGATGTTTTCTTTCTCTCTTTATTTGGTATTAAAATATCATTCATCTAAATTTGCAAATGATATTTACACAGTTGCATTCTGCCCCCACCACTGCCTGGACTGACGAATACAAATACCTTAAATTTATTATGACCCACAAAATGCTACAATTTGGAAGTAAACAAAAACTATAGAGAGATCCAAAGATCAAAGCTGTACAAAAAGCCCATTTGTATCCAGTAATGATAGAAGTGGCAATACCAATTATGGACCTCACAAATTTTCCAAGTAAGGTCGAAAGTAGAATGGACACAACAATTTGGCGTTTGTGAGAGTAAGTAAGAAGTTAGGTGGTAATAATTAAAATAAGTAAAATTAGGCAAAAGCATGTTTCAATTAAGCATTGAATGTTCTCCAAGTATTCTTCCGTTGACCTGTTTGTTAAATTGATTCGGTCAAACTTAGACAAATTGAAGAGCATGCATAATTTGAAAGTAGACCAACCTCTCCATCACAGAAAAAACGTAACCAAGTCAATGGTGTTTAGTCTTTTCTCCTAACTCCACGTAAGTATATAAAAACACAGAAGAAACTCATTCACACACAATTTCATATAACAAACACACAGTTTCCTACAAGTAAAGAGAGATCATAATCATAAGTAACCGATGCAGGTTGTTAGAAGGATCCCATCAGGAGAAGGTACAGAGATGCGCAGTGAAAGATCCGAGACGAACCGGGTCAGACGTAAGAGTCACGTGTCAAGCTTGAGAGTTAGACAGCCTTGCACGTGTTCAGGACGGCCTGGCTCTTCCAAGTGCGTGCGCCACGGGTTTATGGTGCCAAGCGACGAGAAGCTTATGAGGAAGGCGAGTGATGGAAGCAGAGAGGTGTTGAAGAGAGCTTTGACTCCTCCAATACGGCGGATGAATCTCCGGTGGTTGAATTTCCGGCCAACACCTAGCCGACTCTGTAAAATGTCTTTTGTTTGATCATACGAAAGTTTTTGACTTTTTTGTTTGGTTTGATTGTAATTTGTAAATAAAAATGAGAACTTTTTGTCATAGTAATGTTGAAATTTGAATAAGATTCAGACCCAATTGGCCAATCTGGTAAAAAGAAGGAACTTGTGATCTGTTATGAGACAAGAAAGTGTTTAGAACATTTTAGTCTTAAAGGAAGAAGAATCAAGTAGATGAACTGTTGTTTTGAGCAGGTAAAATGAGACGGTCTTGGCCTTCGATTAGTTTTGCAGATTTGATGATATCTCCTGTCTTGATCTGACCAAGAATATCTCTTCCTGCTGTTGTGTACCTGCACAGTTTGTACCAAACATAATCAACTTCATTTAGATGCATCTTGTATGGTTTTAAAACTTCGAATAGAAATCCTTTAAAACACATACCCGAACACTGAGAACTGTCCTTCGTCAAATGATAAACCTCCTAAGCCAGACTGCACAAAGAGTAAAAGGATCAAAAGCTAACTATTTTAGTCTCAGATAGGATTAAAGAGTGATGATGCATACGTTTCTTTTATCGTATAGGTAGAAGAAGAATTGGTAAGGAGAAGAGTAATCCTCAGAGTTTTCGCTGTGGGCCATTGCAACAGCTCCATAAACTGATAAAGGAAGAACTGGTAACTCCCCATCCTTCCAAAGTCAAAATGCAAAAAAAAAAAAAGAAGCAAAGTCAGCTTTTCTGGTTTTTATTTGGGGGGGGGGAAAGAAGTGTTTTTTGTAATATACCTGAACACTCAATGGAGTTCTGTAGAGAGGTTCGAACTGTCCAGAAGGCATTACTTCCAATGGAACACTAACACTCTCCACTTTACCACTCCCATCCTCTGTAATAACAGCTTGGTTCACTGTATTGAGTTTGGTTCCATCATATGCACCACTTGTTACCTAAATAAACAGCTTGGTTTCAAGATTCTAAGAGTACAGTCTCTTAGGTTTAGATGTGTATAGCTAACTAAAGATTGAAGTTAGAGTAAACTACCTTACCAGTTTAGCGAAATTCCCTGCTGTTAATGGAGCTGAATAACCATCTATAACGACCTGATTAACCATCATATAAGCCAAAGCATTGCCTCGTGAATAGAACAGCACTTTTTCTTTTGATAAGATTTGAAGTTTTTAGTACCTGGATTGTAGCACTCTTTCTTTGATCTCCTCCAGCTACAGCTTGAAATGTGGAACCATCAGGTTTCTCAATGGTGATTTCCACGGTTCCTCTTCCTGCTAACCTTTAGCAGGTTCCAGATAAGAAGTGTTTTATTTGCAGCTCATGAGAGGGATTTTTAGATTAGGGAGACAGAAAATAAGACACACCTAGGGTAGTTCATGTATTGCTGAGGAAGCAAAAATGACAATCCAGATGCCTGCATCAACAACACTTTCCAATATCAGGAACTAAATCTTGTGCTATAACCTACTCAGAAGATATGAGCTTGGGGGTAGAGAAATTGTATGTACTTGTAATAACTCCATCTCTGCAACAGTGTCTAGTGATGATGCCAGGCGAATGGACACTTTATCAGGATCTTGAATCCTAATTGATTCTATAAGTGCTTGAAGTCCACCCTTTCAATACAAAAAGAACATACCGGTTTATAGCAAAACCAAAAGAAGCTAGAACATAAGAACATAAGAAACTAAGAGAACGTTTTGTCTAACACCACCAGAATAGAGTCAATCAAGTTGAGAAAAGAGCTGCGGTTTACCTTGCTGTCAACCAACGATGCATACAGTTCTGAGCCCTTGTCTCTCAAGTCTGCTGGTATACTAGCCAATATTGCATCTTTGTCCTCTATAGCCACCTGAATCAAATTTGTGAAGGAGTTTAAACTTGTACTTACTACTCTACCAAACCTAACTCAAATCAAGAACTAAGTGCCAATCAAAAGCTAAAGCAGACAATAACAAAGAGTAACATGTTGACCTTTAGAGCTTTCTTCACGTTGCTCTCCATGGTACCATAAGGCTTTCTTTGAGGGATTCGCAGAAGATACGATATATCTTCCAATGAAGCCTAAGGAAACCACACATAATAACAAAATCAATAAATCAACACAATTCACAAAATGTGAAGAGTCTAGGATAGTGACAAGCCTGTATAGTCTTCATATTCGGATTAGCAGGAATAGCTCTCCTTAACGCAAGTTCCCCACTTCTCGGAACTTTAGTGTCCGGAGAGTAAAGAACCGCCTCTGCAGGCGAGATGTAAGCAGAGTCTAGACCAAACAAGGGCAATGGAGACCACACTTGAGCAAGTATCAAGACCGTTGCAACCACTTTCTCGAGATTCTTTGATCCAGCTTCCAAAGGGTTCAACTTCGAATCAACTGAAGACAGTATCACTTCCTGCACTGCTGAAAACGAGTATTCAGAAACCAAAGTTTGCAACTTTATCACGAACCCATAAATTTCTAGATCGAGTTTTGCGGTAAATGCTAGAGATAGATGAAGAACCCGACCTTAGCGGCATAGCTTGTGGTTTCAGAATGCAAGCGCGTGCGGAGATCTCTGGAGACGGTTCGGCTGAAGGGTGATTTGGGTTTTACGAAGAGTAAGCTGCGCTTAAGAGGCGGAGGGTGGAGAGATAGAATCCGGTGAGAGACGACGGTGGAAGAAGACAAAGGAGAAGCCATTGATGGAGACGTGCAAGTGATACAGAGAAGGATAGGGAAAGAGAAAACGATGAGCTTTCTTTCTACTTGGCGCGCCTAATCTTCCATACGCTTACGTGGAGATTTGTGAGTGGACATACGTGGCATGAACTGAAATCTTAGAAAACGGCGGGGTGTTTTACTATTTAGTAGGGCTGGGACTTAATATCCGCTATCCGCTATCCGATCCGGGATCCGATCCGATCCGCTCCGAAAAAACGGATATCCGGGGGGTCCGGATCCGGATCCGGATAGTGATTTCACGGATCCGGCGAATCCGGATCCGAATCCGGATAGTGAAATTTTCGGTCCGGATATCCGGATCCGGATCCGGACCCACTAAATATTTTTAAAAATATTTAAAATATAATTATATTTATATAGTATATTATATATTTTTTATTAAATATAACTAATACTTAATTTTTTTAGTAATTTCTATTATTTTAATTTAACTTTTTTTCCAAAATAATATTTTTAATAGAATAAATAAATACTAAACTTTTAATTTTTAATGTTTTTTATTTTTTATTTTAAATAAATCGGATCCGGATATCCGCGGGTATCCGAGTTTTAGTCCGGATATCCGGACCCCGGATATCCGGATGGCCCGGATCCGAATCCGGATAGTAATTTTACGGATCCGCCGAATCCGGATCCGGATCCGGATATCTTAAAATACCCCGGATATCCGATCCGTCCCACCCCTACTATTTAGAGTAAAGACGACATTACTTCTTTGTATAGACTCGACGTTTTTATTGCGCTGTACGCTTTGCCGTGATATCACGGAAAGTAAAGGGGCTTGGCCCAAACGTGGCCCAACTGGATTTGTTGGAGGTAAATTTGAAATAATATGTAGGGGACATATATAATCACATCGACGTGCAATATAATAAGTAGGACAAGACATTTAATGCTCAACGATATTTACAAGACGACATTCTTGATTGTCACTCAACATTCAACGTGGTCGATTTTTCTCTTCTTTTCTTTCATTGTTGCATTAATTACTTAGCTACTTTTCTCCACGATTCTAGAAAGCTTACCACTGACCAGCGTTTGAAACGCTAACGCAGTAATAAGAGACTCGGATTCAGTTCACCGATCGAGATTCGAGATGATATATCTATAGGACTCAGCATCATAATACTAGTATTATTTTATATAAATATACAAGATCAAAACGCAAACGCAGCGTTTCTGCCAACTGGTTCCGCTTCGCCTCCCCAGACGCTACTACATACGTTTTGATTTTCTAGTTTACACTCGTAAAGTCGTAATTAATTAATTAATATATCACAATTATGTCTCCACAATTATCTGTTTCAAACCTCCGGACTTGGACTACGTGCCGTCTTCTATTATAAACGATCCAACACACAGCCGTTTTTTAAAAAAGCCACGTCATCATCTCCAATCAAGGCGGACTTCACGTGGTCCAGCAACGAGTTCACTCGGTTTCCTGAAACTCACGATATGACTCCCGGCCATAAACGCCGTGACTCGCTCCGAGACTCGGATATCATCCATCTTCAGCTCCTGAAGACGCCGCACGTACTCAGGCACGTGTAAGAGATCCCAAACCACGCACAAACCTCCTGGCTTCACTACTCTCACTATCTCCCCTAACACCCTCATCCTCTCCGCCGCCGCCTCCACCGACTTCTGACCGTGCTCTTTCCCCACCGTGTGCACAAAAACCGACGAAACAACAACGTCGAAGTAGTTATCTCCAAACGGCAGCGTTCTGACGTCTCCTTCCCTACACGTCACATACTCTTGCACACCTTTACGATTAAAATCACTTAAATGAATCAGTAAAAAAATCATTAATTAACTTGAGGTAAAAAAATAATAACTAACTTTTACCTTCGAGTTTGGCGGTACGGAGAGTGGAGAGAGTAGTGCGTTTAGAGCGGTCTAACCCGACGACCCGACCCGAACTACCGGTTTTCTTTAACTGCGTCGCAACGGCATTGAGTAAGATGCCGCGTCCGCATCCGAGATCTAACGCCGTTTTGACGCAGGACCAGTCGCTGACGGAGCCGACCATGCGCTGAGCCATCTCGTACTGGAGCGGGACGTCGGAGTAGACGAAGTTCGCGGCGGCGAAGAGGAGACAGACCGCGGAGAGAGCGGTCACGGCTCCGGTGAAGCCGGCGGTGAACCTGGAGGCGCCGGAGAGGAAGAAGGAGTCGAGGAAGAAGCAAATCTGGTCGAAGTAGATGAGGAAGAGGAGGGAGAGGAGGGAGAAGAGGAAGGCGTGGAAGAGGAGGAAGACGAGTGTCTGCCATTGTTGGATGCCGTAGATGGCGTAGATCTGAGTCCAGTCTCTGTTCGCGGCGGTTTTTCCCATTTTGGAGATTCCGGTGATCGGAAAGGGATGAAAACGAGATGTTTTCTACAAACAGATCTCAGGAGTTTTGAATTTTTAAAAGGAAGAGTTTCGTGGGGGTAAATGAGATGATGAATTAGAGATCAAAGGACGATGAAGATGTGAGGTAGGGTAAGTGGGAAGAGTATCGTTAGAATAACATGGTGGGAGAGTGAGCTTATGTAGCAGCAGAGGAAGGGAAAAAAAAAAGTAGAATTATGGAAAAGGTTTTTTTTTTTGTTTTCAACCTTTGGTCCTTTACCATATTCACGCGCTTTCTTTTTACTAATGCTTGTCGGTTTCTGCATTTTCAAACTATGGTTCTCATTTGAATTTTTTTATGAAACCCGATAAGTCGGAAGCTTTTTAAAAAAATAATTTTTATGTTTTTTTTTTCTGCTAACAAAGTTCTATATTTTTAATTTAGATGTTGCTAACAGAAAGTCAGTACTTACTATTTAATATCGGTTATGGAATGCATGTAGTTTTCAGTATTTGAATGTAGTATATTGTTTATTGTTATGATCTAGTGAAAATGGTTATCTATTCCTATAGACTAGTTTTTCTATCATTTAGATGGATTATAGTATTATTAATGAAATTCTCTCATTACTTAGTATTTAATATTGGTTATGGTATGCATGTAGATGTTTCAATATTCGAATGTAATGTTCATTGTTATAATGTAGTGAAAATGGTTATCTTTTCCTGTAGACTAGTTTTCTATCATGCATTTATATGACTTTAAATACTATTAAAAATGAAATTCGAATTTCACAATTCTACATATATCAAACCGATAAGTTATGTAACATATAAGTTAATCTATCTCTAATGTATTTTAATAATTCTTAAAAAATAGAGATGGAATTTGCTTTCAGGTATTCTTTTATGATAATACTATTTCAACTATAGAGTAAAAATATTTTTTTTTTCTTTAAACATATAGTAAAAGAATATCGAGAATAAAAAACAGCAATAAGTTGGAATATAATTACTTTCAAATACTACTATACTAGGTAATAATCCGCGTCTTGTGCGGAATGAGATTATTAAATTTGTTACTTTTAAGATAAAATGATATTATATCTATTTAGCATGAATATTAGTTCAGTTTTATGTTGTTTTTTTAATCTTTTAAAATATAATTATCATTCTAAATCTATATTTATTTTGGTTTGTTTGGTTGGTTTAAATGTTTGATGTTTTTGATTTTTTCGATGATAACCAAAAACTATTGTTATTTTGTTTGGTTTCGTTTTATATAAATTTTAGACATTTTTGATGTCGAAATAATATTTTCCTATTATAATTTCTAAAGACATGTAAAATCAAATAAAATCTAAATAATATTTGGAAAAAAATATTAACATAAAAAAATTCACTACAATTTGAGCGATAGTGAAATAAAACATAAAAAAAAAAACTCAACTTCAATAAGAATTAAAATTCTCATTTGTGCTGAATATTTAGTTATATAGTCGCTCATTTCAATGTGTACATGTATGTATATGTAAAAGTATATAAATGTGATGATAAATAGTAGATTCTTAAATAAAATTAAGTAAAAATAAAACAAACCTAAAAATTAATAACATTTTTCATATGAAGAAATCAAATTGTACCCATAAACAATAAAAATAATATATATTATAAAGTGACATTTTCACTTGATATCTGAATTTTGTTTTTAATCGATTTTATGGTTTTTATTATTTTTTTAATTTTTTCTGATTTCTGAATTTTTTCTACTAATTTGATTTTGTTTCTAATTCTTTATTTGTATGAAAACTTTATAAAAATGTTATTATTTAACTAACTAAAGATCTGACTTTATGTGTGGTGTTTTTCACCTCAGCTTCTTTAATTCATAATCAATCATCTTATTTGTTGTTATTGTGTATCGAAGTCTCAACCATGACCAGCTTCTGCAAGGTACAAAACTTTCAATTTATACAAACATTTTCCTCGCAACATTTTAGTTGATGCGAATCTTAATGATTTTGTATTTTTTATAAGAAAGATATTATTCATTAGTTTCACGTAAAAAGCTTTAATTTATTAATACAAAAACTAAAAAAATATAGGAAAAATGAATTAACTAAAAAAATACTATATAAACATATTAAATAATGAATTTAAAAAATTAATGTACGAACACATTTATTGCCAAATGATTGTGAGACCGACATGTGTCAATTATGGTGAACGTATTTAGTTCTGTTAACGTATGTTACCCTCCGTCTAAAATTATGTGACGGAGGGTGACAAACATTAACGGAACTAAAGTTGAGAGTTTTTTTCACCAAATCTTTAGTTAAGGGTTTTTTTTACGATCTATCTTTAGTTGAGGGGTTTTATTACTAAAAACCCGAAGGTTAACGATAAAAAGTTTGTCATAATTTTCCGAACTGCGGTGTATATTAGAATTCTGAATAAGTTAAAATAAAAATATCAAGAATTAGATCTTGCGTTGAGAGGATTAGATATTAGTTTTACGGAGAAACATTGCAGCAGTGCAGCAGGCGATCTGGAATCTCGGAGTCGGAACCCAGTGCATGCATGATAAGAAACATATCTACTAGGATTTCAATCTCACGTCGTCTCTCATTGGTAGCTCTACTGGCTTATCACAAAACTTTTTTAATATTTGTCAGAATTCATACAATTTAATAAGGGTGCGATATTTCTGTATACGAAATAAAAACATTATCTTGACGAAGATGCATACATACTTTAATTAAACTTTGTCTCCTTCCGTAACTTTCATTTTAAAGCTCGAACGCGCTTGTTCTTTACACATGGACTCTTGTTCTTTTTAAAATTTAAATCTTATTTTTGATAGATGAAATTTAAATGCTTTTTTTTAACAATGGAATTTAAATGTTCTGTCTCGGTATTGAAAATATGATCTAATATGGTATTAAAAAAAATCGCAAGTTAAAGTCTATTCATTTCATGGTTGGTGATGTGTTATTATACGTACCAAATGAAACTTCAAAACAACCAGACAATATGTTTTTACTCAGTTGATGATATTCTCTACTTTATTCCATTGTTGACAATATGTTATAAATCAGTATAATTGGACAGTGACAGAACTTACATGTTTAACATACAGGTTAATAATCGAAACTATATTATATAGATGTTTACATGGTATGTATTATATAGTCTATGTGTTCAAAAAAAAATTATATAGTCCACTAAACATATGAATATACAGTCTACAATACAACTATAGAAGGAAGAAACTCATAAGTCTAAACAGAAAACCCTAATAACATTGTTATAGACTTTTCTACTTTCGTAGTATTAAAACAGACAAAAATAATACGTATTATCTTCGGACACTTGCAGTCACATGTTCTTAATATTTATACATTTTGTGAAGTGGTGAGATAACTTTGCAAAATGGATCGATCGAATGTGACGGTGTTAATAGACTGTTAACGATCTTACAGAAATTTTTTTCGGAAACATCCATTCGTGAGATTTGAAGATCCATGGTAAGTTTCAATCATCAAACATAACCATACATCTGGCACTCTCATCACTTACCAGGTCAACACGTGTGATTTGTCAATATTTGATTCTCCGTTAATCGTGGCATTGTTACGTGAAAAGACCCCTTGTTATTACGATCCGACAGCAACTAGAGATTCTTTTTCCACTTCCTATATTTTCCACATGCCTTTTCAAGAACTCAAACCAGGAAAAATCATATGATAAATCATATATATGATAATATCGCTGAAATGACGGATTGATGCAGTTTCAGACCAGGTTATCATCGAATCTTGTACATTGAACCGACCTTGTTCATGTGTCAAATGTTTCAAAACCAAGATTACCCAAAGGTAAGTTGGAACCGAACTCAAAATAGATCCATCCGAAAGTATGTTTATATTTTATCCCAATGTATTATCAATATTCAACACGCACTCGCTGTCTTTAAAGGATAAAATTTAAAGATATAATCATTGCTGAGTGTTTTTAAACATGCTTCCCGCTGATTATTCACAAAAATATATTATGCAAAAGAAGGAAGAAATTAAACTTTTAAAACTGGGTCCATTGGTTTGACGAAAATCATAGGTCAGTACTTTAAACATGCTTCCCGCTGATTAGTCACACTTAGAGAAGATATCTGTAAAAGAAGAGAGAAAATTAAACTTTAAAATATGGGTCCAATGGTTTGACGATATAGTAAGCAAACGTAATTTGAGTATGGGAAACAGAAGGGAGAAGCATTACCCCACTGGCTTTACTAAATACTCTTTTTCAATAACAAACACTAAAGTCTAAAGTTTACATTCCTACTTGCTACAACGTTATCTTTTCATTAAAAAAAATACAAATATAAATCAATAAAAATGGCAATGCAATCTAAAACAATTGCGGTATGGACCTTTGTACGTACTGTTACTATCACACGTACCAGTGCCCACTATTGAAACTTTAGCTAAATATATCGTCAGCAACATGGGATGCTGCATTACGCAGAGCCGATCATCAGCTTACATAGATAACTAACGAGAATTGAAGAGACGTTTATGTTTCTCTAGATCACTGTCGATTATCGACGTGATAACTAACAAGACTAGAAGTGGTATGGTTGATTTGGCTATAGAGAACAGGTTAAATTTTCTCTCAGCGATCTTCATATGAATAACAAACTATGCACGCAGACGTAGTAATCAAAAAGCCACTGAGCAGCTGAGCCAAGCTAACGCAAGTGGCAAAACCAAGTGAGTCCATGAAAATGACTCTGGAAGAAGTTTATTTATTAATATTATAAAGATTTACGTCAAACTATAGATATTATACGTAATATATATGTTTATGATCCATTTTGAAAATAATTTAAGTGTTTAACAGTTGACATTCAAGTTAATTTCCTAAAGAGAAAATAGTTCGGCGGTGAAATAATCCTGGAGTGCGGTGAAATACTAAGATTATTTAAATAAAAAGATCGACCATTGAGGAAGTGTCGGTGTTCTGTGTTCACATATGCGGGATGCCTTCTTTCTTTAAAAAAAAATATGCGGGAGGCCTCATATCCTAGTGAAGTTATTTTCTTAAATCTTATCAAAGTGTCAATAACATTTCTTTTGGTTTATACGTAATTAACGTGCAGCATTATCTGAACGGAAAAAGAGAATTATCTTTTTATATGTTTAGGGATAACAATTTCAAGAACTATAGTTTTCATATCGCACCATTTAACATAGACCTTTTTGGGTTCAGTGTGATATTTTAGATCTCATGCAGTTTTCTTTAAGTTATGTACTAAAAGAAAAAAAAAATTTGCTCAAGGAGAAAAAGGAAATATGGAATTGAATCGCGACTAACTAAACCCTATAATTTTTTTTTTTCAAAGATTGAAACATGTCGTGATTATTTTTCTTATATTTCAACAATCTGTAATGTTAAAGCGTGGGAGATTATTAAAATTATTGTAGGTGTAAAATATTATTCATCAAACTCAAAACAGCATTAGAAAGAATCTAAAAAAAAGTCTTCAAGAGAATAGTTAACGAAGTAGCAACTTGATTAGTTGGTAGACGCACGCAGCGTGACCTAACACGTCGTTGACTTCTAACTATACTCTCTCTCAACTTATTTAATCATTTATCTTTCATTTGTATATAATTTATTATTGCCTAACACTTTCTTGTCCTAACGTCAAAATTATCCAATATTAGTCAAATACAACTATACAAGTGAGATGTGACCAAACTGTCTCGATTAATCGTGCACATAAGTACATAATTACTTGCAAGTTGTGATAATTTTGCTTCTTTTAAAAGAGCATTATGATGTTCTGTAGAGTGCAAGTGATCATTTTATTTTCATCAATCGTGCATGTAATTACATAATTAAGCTCCTAGTTATTATAACGTAGGGCAGAGCCTACAAAACATTTGACACATTACATATCTCTTCTATCGTTATATTATTCTCAATCCGTTTGACTTTGAACGATGTTAACCATTCATAACCTTGAAAATGACATCTTCCGTGAAATCTTGGAAAAAGATATTCTGAAAAACTAAGGCTTTGGGCTTACAATAAGCTAGCCCAACTTTAAAAATGCAAGTTGAATATATTAGGCCCATTAATATTTATCTACCTCAAGATCCATATTTCCGGTATGGAAGACAAACAAATGACATCCTCAACCACCAACTATATTTCTCCACGTGCCAATGCAATAACCCACTGATTCATCAATGACGACTGCCTTCACCTTCACGTAACAACAGAAATTAATCCAGTGAGCCATCATTGAAGTATGCAACTATTTTTATTTCAGACTACACAATATGTTAATATCGAAAAACTATATATAGAGAGAATTATTTGACCCAAAAATATAAATAAATATAGATAACTCATTACTCCTTAAAAATAGGAACCAATAATAATCGGAATAAGAACATAATAAAAGAAATGAATTCGGTTAGGAAGTTGGGGGTTGTACGTATGTGTACGCACGTCAAAAACTCGTTAAAATATCATACAATTCTCTATATAATATAACGTCCCGACGCATACTCTTAATTACTAATTTCTAGACCAAACACGTGTGCATCAATAAAGCAATATCACGTCGTTTTTTGTACATCTCCAACCTAACTGCATCATCAAGAAACTCCAACAACTTCTAAGGACCGATTAATCACAAACCGGTGTGATTACAAGATTCTGTGTATTTGAAGAAGGATAGAGAATGGTGTGTTTTTGTTTCTTGGTGGACCAGAAGAGGAAGATGAAAGCAAGCAAACCAGCTGCGGGAATGTGTTCTCGGTGCGGTCGTGGTGCAAGAATCGCTGACATGAAGACTTCGACGAGGTTTTGTCTAATACCTATTTATGGCAGATCTTGGAAAGCCATCGTGTGCAGCTTTTGCGGCTCTGTTCTTAAATCATACCGTTGATATCTCATTTACACCTTTTTTAATATCCCTGTTTTCCAGCTTTTAATGTCGTTTATTGGCCTGGTTTTTATAATAGGCTTATATCCCGTCGTCTAATAGTAATTTTGTATTATAAAAGGATTACATTCATACATATTTGATTTTCACCGGTAATTTGTAAAATTTACATGTATTACAAACTATATTCTTTTGTTGCGAACGCTATTTTCATTCTAGCTTAGCTATTTTACATTTAATGGAAGTCCCCCCCTTAGGCACCCTAGCGGAAATTGATTAAGTTAGGTGATCCTGCTTAATACTACTGTTTTACTTAATCTGTAGGCGTTAATGTAAATGTTCTGGACTTCAATAGTTTTACAATGTTATCAATCAACAAGATTATGTAGGATTATTTCCGTTATGGGTATATAGCACATTATTAAAGTAGGGATTTGATTTTTTTTTTGTTTTCCAAACCACATTATACACTATCTGGTGTGAACGAAATCAGAGGAAGCATGGAGAAGGCTCCACATCACCGGCACAACAGATTCAAATGGTCGACAAACGAGTTCCAAAACCGGCTCTCTTCTCTCCGTGGGACAAGAGGACATGCATATGAGAGAGGGATGTCCATATGGCTTGCCACAAGATAGATAGATACATAGATAGTGGATTATAATTCTACTTAGAAGCCTCTATGGCATAGCAACAACTTAAGTAATAACATATTTTTTGGTTGAATCAATTTAAAATTCTTTCAAAAGAAAAATAACTTGATTTATTGTTTTTCTTCTATCACCTCTTGTATGGTACATATAGCTTGAGCTGATACACGAAACTGAATCCCCATGTATTTTGTTTTTCTATACTTTGTCAAGTTTCTTCAATTGTGTTTCAAAAAAAAAAATTAAGTCAAGTTTCTTCAATTAAAATTCAAAAGAAAGTTTCTTCGATCAGAAAACGCGGTACGTTTCACACCAACCATCAATAGTACACTAGGTAATAATCCGCGTCCTGTGCGGAATGAATGATTTAAAAAGATTATTAACGACTATCTATAGATATTAGAAAGCTGAAAATCCCAAATATCAGATATAATAAAATATCGTACTATAATGTTCAGGTTTATATAATGTAAGCTAATTTCGTTTTTTAATGAAAAAGTTATTGTGATTGGATAGGTGTACTGTATTATATTGCATGGAAAAAAGTAAAACTATAAGAATAAGCAAAGACTTCTATAAATTTATTATGACTAAAAAAACATAGAAAATAGAATTATTGAATTCATAATAAAAAAAATCTAAAGATATAATAATTAAAGAAACTAAGATGTCATAAAACTAAAACACCAAATCATGTGAAAATTGTCTTCAAAACTCCTCGTTTGCAATCCTATAGATAAAAATAACAAGGAAAAGTTTTCAAAATAAAACAAACTTATTTACTCTTTTCTATATATTGAAATAATATACCTCTTTCTGAAAGTATCGATTTCTGGAACATCTTTGGGTTCAAAAATAATTTTTGAAAACCCTTTAATGTTAGTCACGTTCTTCAATTTTCCTTATCATGATAAAAAACAATGTCATCACAGTATTAAGAAGATATCATATCCAACACAATTTTTATTTAAAATTAGTATAATACATTACCTCTTCTCCAATTAATTTGCCAATAACTGTAACACACAGAGTACAACATTTGCATCTGGAATTCCATAACTCTTGGAAAACACGAACAAGTACTCCGTAATCAACACACTTAGTAACAATGTTCCTATGATCAGTATAAAACATAACAAAATAAGCAAATATGAAACTCAGTTCATCAGTAATTTGTTTTCCATAGATGGAATACTTACTCCATGTTTAGTACAAAGAAACGTATTTTGTGGTCAATAAAACCATTGTTCCCGTGAGTAGATTCTTTTATATATTCTTCAAGAAATTTTACTCCTACTATAGCTCCATAAATATCTGCTTGATATTTTTCAAACAAAACGTGTCCAATCTTAATATAGTCATCAATATATATTAACATAATCTGCATACTTTCCTACTTTACCATAACAAATATATTAGATGGAATAGAATACACACCAATAGAAAATTTAGGATGGACTAAGCCACGATAGACATCTTCAAAGTCTGGAAAACAATAAAAGGTGGTCAGGGAAAATGGATCGATCTTCAAAATGACAGAGGAGTTATCAAGGTTAATATGGTGTCGGTTCTCAATCAACCAAACATGCTCTGATGCAGGAGTTAGTATGAAATTTTTAATTTCATAGCAGCAACCTTCTTCCAATGGCATTAGTATAGTCTATATATATAGTGTTTCGAATATAGAGTCTAGGCGAAATCCCTCAACTCGAGGCAATTATGATTATGCGCCACAAATCTTGTTAACATTCTCTAATTATCACGTTGATTTTTTCACAGTATAAGGAAATTTAATAATCAGGACCAGACTTGGTTTCCAAGCTCATCGATTTGATTCCTGAGCTAAAACAAATTTGGGATGTATTGTAAAGTTTATAATTAACTTCCCATTAGATATTATTGAATGAATGAAAGTTTCCTATATTGTAGAAGTGAATTATGAATATTTAGGCCAAAATTTTTGTTTCTTTTAATATTCAGATATCCATTTAATTGGTGATAATAATTTGATTTGTGTTTAGTGTTAATAAATTTACGAATATATGAAATTGAAAACCTTGCTAATAACTTATATTTAATCGTAAATATCATAAGATATAATAACACAATTTTTAAAAATACATAGTGTGATCAAAAATATAACATATAGGTTGATCTATTTTTTTTTTTTTAAATATCGGCCTAACATTTTTACTATGTATGTGACTAAATTTTCGAAGTATATATATGTTTGAAGTTAATTTTAATAAAACATGCACATTCAGCTAAACTTTTCATATACAATAGGGAGATTTGTTCCTTCATTTTAATAAAGACACTTCATAAAAATAGACAACGTAATATATATGTCCAACTATGATTATGCGCCAAAAATCTTTTAACATCCCTAATTATCACGTCTAATAATGAAATGCCTTAAAGGGGATTCGATTTTGTCACAGCATAAGGAAATTTAATAATCAGGACCAAACTTGGTTCCCAAGCTCATCGATTTGATTCATGAACTAAAATAAATTTGAGATGTACTGTAAAATTTATAATTACCTCCTCATTAGATATTATTGAATTAATGAAAATTTCCTATATTGTCGAAGTGAATTATAAATATTTACTATTTATGCCGAAATTTTAGCTTTTTTTTTTTTAATATTCAGAGATCCATTTAAATGGTGACAATAATTTGATTTGTCTTTAGTGTTAATAAATTTACAAATATCCGAAATTGACAACCTTGCTAATAATTTGTATTTAATGTTAGTTCTTAAATATTTACATTTAGGAAACACGTAACAAATGTAGGCAAGTATATTGTAATTGATTACAAATTTCCAAAACAGAAAATGATATCAATTTGGCCACGCAAATTACTTATGTAATGTTCACATAAACTTTAACGAATATTTATGCCAAAATTTTCTCATTTTGTTAAATTCAGAGAACCTCCTAATTGGCGATAACTCATAATAAGTGTTCAATGCTTTTTAATCTACAAATATTACAAATTGATACATTGTTACTCCTAAGTTGGTCTATTAAGATTTTAATCCTTAGAAATGCATCAATTATTGGGCGCATATTTTTCAAAAGAAACATAGTAAGCACTATTTATTATTTCAAATCCAATTTTATAAAAAAATAAAAGTTTGACCAGTATGGTTTATAAGGTTCTCTATAATCGTAAATATCATAAGATATAAGATATGTTCCTTCATTTTAGTAAAGACACTTCATAAAAATAGTAAACATAATATATATATATATACATATATATATATATATAACATATAGGTTGATCTTTTTAAAAAAAAATTATTGGCCTAACATTTTTACTATATATGTGACTAAATTTTTGAAGTATATATATGTCACTAAATTTTCGAAGTATATATATGTTTAAACTTAATTTTAATAAAACATGCACATTTCAGCTAAACTTTTCATATAAAATAGGGAGATTTGTTCCTTCATTTTGATCTACATTTTTTTTTTAAATATCATCCTAGCATTTTTACTATATATGTCACAAAATTTTCGAAGTACAAAATTTGCTTGAAGTATATTTAAAAAGAAAAATCTGCACCCAATAAGTACACTAAATTTTCGAAGTATACTGTCCTCATTTTTTAAGTACACTAAAATTTTGAAATATATTAAAGAAATGTATGTTGTTTAAGAATGAAATATAGAAAGGAGATAAGGTCTTCAACATGCATTTAGAATGATAGATTTACTATAATCAATTGGTAAATTTATATGGTAATGGCATAACATGTAACTAGTCTAAGCAAAAGAGGGTTATTTACTAAATGATGTGAGGTGCATTGTGGTGTTGACACCTAAAAAACAACAAATTTGTTAATTACACATAAACTTAAGGTTATAAAATAAAAGTGCTCTTCAAATAATAATAAGAGAATATGAAAATGAAAATCAACTCTCATTTATTGCCAAATGTGAGGATCATACTTGAATTCTTTTTTTTTTTGTAACATATATGACATAAGTCATAACTAAAACTATGTGTATTTTCTAACTGATTGCGCCATAAACGCTTATAGTATTTTTTTCATCTTCCTAATCATATTATAAGTTCTAACCTTTAAAAATCCAAGTGATTAATTTTCGTAGTAAAATAATGCAAGTCTTTTAAAACTATTGAATAGTTGACCAAGACATAACATGTACATAATGACTTTGAGCTGGCGACATCATTGTGTCAATATTTGTGTTCAAACCCAACACATTGAATATTATTGTGAAAAAGAGTACTGAATCATTTGTGATAAAAAGACTATTGAATGGTTTTGTAGTTTATTGTATTTTATCCTCATGAAAATGAGGAGAAAGAAACCAAACACACATTTGTAAGGAATTGGTTGCATTTTTGGGCTCTTTCTTCCTCTCTTTCCGGCCTTATTAGTCGAAAGTTCGTACTCTTTTAAGTCTTTAACACGGATAATATGCATCTTCTACTTTAACATTATACACTAGGTTTTGACCCGCGCTTAAAAGCGCGGGTTATTTTGAAATTTTAGTAAATCTTAAAAAATTAAATTTATAATAAAATAGTATATAGGTTTCAACACATTTATCTAAAACAGAAAATCGAACCATACCAACTGAAAATATGAAATCAAAAGTTAACTGATTTTCATAATAACTAAGTATATCATATATTTTTGGAACCGAAACACTGGAATCAAACAAAAAAAAATGGATGCTTGAATTTTTAAAATACAAATTATATACCTAAAATATTAATTTTATTTAAGTTCTAAATAATCTGATATGAAAAAATAACTGTTTATAAACAAAACTACCTCAAAACTAAATTACCCAAAATATTAAAAATTACCTAAGTTATCCGAATTTTTACCTGAATTATCTAATATTTAAAATGACTCTTAGATTATCCGATATTTTTATTTATAAATCGACAATTACCTAAAAACCCAGAATCGAACCGGAATTGAATTAGACCCAGTTTTTTTTGGATATTAGCTGGTGCCTATCCTTTTTGTTGGGTATAACCAAAATTGAAATAAACTCAACTATAATCAAATCAAATTTTGCAAATACATTAATGTTCCCACATTTCTAGAATCAAATCACCAAAATACCAAAACCAAACCAAAACCAAAACCGATTGCTAAGGACTAATCGTACATCTACAATTAAATGGTGTAAAGAACACACTCTATATTTACAAATAAATTAACTCTTTTTACGGGGAGAGGGGGAGTACATATATTTACCGCGTTAAATATGTAAACCTGATGACCATATATAATTCAGATTAGCTTATATTTCTTCATGTAGCATCTATTAGATATTATATCAACCAATATGTTTCAATAAAATATGGATTTAATGAAGACCTATTAAATAAAAATTTGATAAAATCAACGAACTCATCATTAACATGTGAATTGGCATCGGTTGACCCAGAAAAACCCATAAAATTTAATTAAATTGCTTATATACTACATAAAACCAAAAAAAATATTTTATTTGTAATTCTAAGTAAATGAATTGTATTTATGTTATGCATTCTAATTTATAGATTTTGTAATGATTAATACTATTATTATTTTCGTGTAGATAATTTATCTTTTCCTTATAAACATACAATGAGTTTCGGCCTATTGGTAAAATAAATTTATGATTATTGGAATGAGTTTTCTTATGAATTGTTGATGCAATGAATTAAATTAATTGATATGTATAGTTAAATCCAAAACCTTAAAAAAATTCATTAATTAGAATTAAATCTCACTTTAAAATTATATTTTGAAAAAAACATAATTTAATTTAAAAAAATCAGAAGGTTTTGTTTTTATAATATAAATAATAAAAAATGTTAGTAAAATACTATGTAGTTTGTTGTGACATCTCTTCACCTTGCATTATTTAAGAGAATTAATAATTGATGTATGAAATATTACTTTGGCTTAAATATAGTTCTGGTTTTAATGCAATTAATATCCCACGCAAAGCAATAGTTGCGATCCCATGATATTAGGGATTGTCATTAACTTTCACGGTAACAGAAAAAGATAAGTCTGTATAGTTAGGGTAATTAACTGTGCATAGTTAAAGTAATTAATTGTAAGATCAAATGTAACAATTAGTTAATGAATAGGTCCAAACAACTTATATAAGTAGATTTTTTAGTACTCCTTCTCTTTTAATAGTATTGATTTTAATTTATTTATTTGCTTCAAGTATAAGTTATTTATTTATAAACTCCAAGTAAAAGAGATAAGTAAAAAGAATTAACAGTTTCAGCTTTTTTTTTCTTTTCTAAGAAAATCTTTTCACTTCTGATTATACAACTCAATTCGAATGCAAATTTATTTAAGAAAACCAGTTTCATCTTAAGTCATTCATATGAGTGAAAGTAGCAATCAATTAACTAACAGTATGCTAAAATCATTTCACATTAATCTTCTTATGCATCTATCTTTCTATGTATAATGATTCATGTCTCTCTCTCAACGCCATTGATAGGCCGACAAAGAAAACGCTATTTGTAGAAGTGAAATTGGGTCCAATGAACGAAAAAAACTAAAATATTATTCCACTGGGGACAGAAGCAAGCCTTGTACAAAAAAATAAAAATAAGTCTTTCTATCGTGTCTTGAGGGACAAATGTAAGGACCAAATTAGTTTTGACATGGTCGACATCATCAATAATAATGTTGTAATTAGTGAAGATGCCTATATAGATCAAGTCTTCTCTTCGCATCTAGTCTTTATGGTTTCTGCAAGACATATATTCAGTAATTCAGATAATAAATGGCTAATACATTCTTGTATTTTGTATTGATGACCGCGTTTCTATTGTGCAGTGTGCTCAAAATCTGGTGGGAAACTGATAGCGAGGTAAGTAACAAATTTTAACTACTAAAAATATCTACACATTGATTTAAACTACCATCCAATTTTTGTGTGTATGCAATATCTTTAATGTGTATATGCCCCTTTTTATTGCTTTAGTTTACACGACACAGGAATGGCTCGATAAAGCTTTTGAATCAGGAACTGCGTTACTTCGTATTGGGTTCGATGAAAATCAAGAGTACTTTGAATCGTATTTTCTGCTATAGACGACTATTACGCCAACTCGCCAAGTTCATATGTATTATACTATTATTTATGGTTTTCTCAGTGTCTATACTTAAAGATAAAACAGTTATGTAGTCAAAACTATAACCGCAGAAACGGCACATGTGTCGGCTGATTCAACTTGGGTTTATAAACCCAGGTAATTTCTTCTTTTGGTTTGGTGCCTTTAAATACATTTTCTGTATCCTACGCCGCTGATTTTTTTTCTCTGTAAGATTCTAATATGCATGGAAATCCTCGAACAAATCTTAGCAATACATATTTTTCCTCCTTAGTATCCGACGACTATTCGTATAATAAAATATAAGATTTGAGTTAAGTAAATATCTGCTCGATTATAGAGGCTAAAACGTCCGCTAAACACTCGTGCTTTCCTTTTATAGCATGTTGCCCATTTGTCGGACAATGTTTAAAGTTTTAAAAGCTTCCTGATCATTTTATATTTTATACTTTTCGAGAATTTACTTCAATTTTAGTGAGATTGTGAGTATAGATATTTTTGAAGGTGAAAACATTTATTCGTAATTCTTCATTTTTAACTATTTTCATGGAAAAATTAAAAGTTTTATTACTTTTACATTAAACTCCATTGCTTACCAATATAGTCAAACTATTGATCATTTAATTTAATGATGATGAAACTGAAACACTATATCAACATTAGACCATACTTGCCTTTTGTTCTGTCATATCATACTTGAATTATTACTTGAAGTTTATCATGGTGAAGTTTTCTTAATCTCCCTTCATGCTTTCCAACAAAATACCTCGTGATCCTTACTGTAGGCATGTAATTTATATTGGTTTGCTTTCTATAAAGTGAGTTTAAAAAATACTGACAATAAAAAATGTTTTTGCGGTTTAATGATTTAGCTTATGCTGCTAATCGACGTGGGAACATACTTGCAAATTATTTTTTATTTTGGTCGTCCATTTAATCAAAACTATACCTCTCTTATTTTATTTTATTCGAAGATACATTCTGTGATTGTTTTTTGAGATTGAGAACATAATCATGACTCTTGAGACTGGTGGTAATATTATATTCAGTAACCGGAAACATAAGCAAGAGAATATTAATCGTGGATAACGACCAAACGTATAAGAAACATGAGACAGGTCACAATCACTATGAAAGTTATTCAATCAAAGATCGAGTAGACGCACATGATAAATTTATAGTTATATACGTAAATATTTGATAGAATAGTAATAGCATTGTTTTGTTACATAATAAGATACTCCAAGTAGAATGGCATTCTTCCAGATTGCAAGCGGTGGTGTTTCTAGAGGCTGAAGGTAAAATAAAGCATCATATATCACATTGATGCTACAAAACCGCATGTTTGGCCGCGCAGTGTAACTTGTTTTTTCTTTCTTTGAATCTATGGTCAATGGTGTGAACTTGCTGCATTTTCAGGCTATACTTAACTGTGTGAACATTTTGTTTGTGGGTCAATTTTGGATTCCGATTAGCTAGAAGCTCTTGTGTTGATTTGCAGAAAAGTCCTTACAAAGTGGCATGTTCACCGCTGAAATTACTCAGATCACTTCGATAGAACTTGAATATTCAATGCTAAATCTATAGAAAAATAACTTGGTGATACAAAACGTCGTTTGTTAGTAATTAGAAACATTAAAATTATACTAGATCGACAAACTAGAAATATGGGAATATCATCGACTCATCTCTCTCTCTTTATGTGGTTGTATTTCATATAATTTCACGTGGCCCAACCTGTTTCTGTTCATTAATCAATTAAAGTTCGTAGACAAGAGTGAACCCACACACATACACACGGTCGATCGATCTTCTTTTCAATGCCTCTGTCCCTACATTCTAATACCCATCATTACTTCGTTTGTTTAATTGGTACGGTGAGCCAAACATAGTTAGCAACAACCCAACAATGCGAATCTTGCTAAGTTTGAACGCTTATTTTTTTTTGATAAACTCATTTCTAAACTACTTTACTCCACTTAAAGTAACTTTCGAGCATGAAATACTCAAACTTAATACACATGGTCGTCGTCTTAGAATTTTACATGCAGACGACAAAACAATAGATGTTTCTCATATGTATTAACATGATAAATTTATTGTTATATACGAAACGCATAAACTCGTACAATATTTGGTACTGTCCATAGAAAGTATATTTGGTGTATGCTCTCCCCATGTGAGATTTATGCGCGCGGTGACCAATCAAAATCATTGCTGAGATACCTTGAGCTAAATGTCGTTAAATACGTACCAATTAAAAAGTATGGAAGGAGAGATGACAAACATATTACATATCCCAAAATGGTAGGATTTGATTTTGTTAAGAGTATGTGTCGGTTTGAGTTGGTTTAGTAGGATAAGTATGGTTGGTTGTCGAGATAAGTATTGTGTATTAGTGATAAGGATGATGTAGATACTGTGAGATCTTGTAAGATCCTTAACAGGAGATATTGTGTATCGTGTATATATTGACGGCAAGAGCCCATGAATGAATACAACAGTTTACAGCACATTCTCNGTTTGAGTTGGTTTAGTAGGATAAGTATGGTTGGTTGTCGAGATAAGTATTGTGTATTAGTGATAAGGATGATGTAGATACTGTGAGATCTTGTAAGATCCTTAACAGGAGATATTGTGTATCGTGTATATATTGACGGCAAGAGCCCATGAATGAATACAACAGTTTACAGCACATTCTCTCTGTTCCTGAAATTACATGGTATCAGAGCCGTTGTGAAAGATCCGTGTGTAGAGAGAGAACTGTGAGTCATGTCAAAACAAGAGATCCAAGTTGGGAGTAGCAGCGGTGGCATCGGTGTGACGTCGCCGTATTACTTGTCTCATTCCGACAATCCAGGTGTATCTATCACTCCAGTCACGTTGACGGGTGAGAACTACTCCGAGTGGGCTTCGGAATTGGAGAACGCACTTCGCGCGAAGAGGAAGATAGGATTCATAGACGGTACCTTGTTGATGCCGGATGAAAAGGAGAAACCTGCAGAGGCAGAATTGTGGAGAACCGTTAACTCCATGATTGTGGGGTGGATAAGGACCTCGATCTCACCTACCGTTAGATCGACGGTGACCTTCACCTCAGATGCTTTCAAGATGTGGAGTGACTTGAAAAGGAGGTTTTCGATTGGGAATGCTGTGCGTGTTCATCAGCTTAAGGCAGAGCTGGCGAGTTGCAAACAAGAAGGTTCAACTGTGTTGGAGTACTTTGGACGTCTCTCTTCCAAGTGGGAAGAACTACTGAATTATAAACCGCTTCCGACGTGTACTTGTGGTGCTTCAGTCAAGATCAATCAGGATTATGAAGAGGAGAAAGTTCATATGTTTCTGATGGGACTTGATGATGAGAGGTTTGGCAATGTCTGCACCAATATTATTGGGATGGATCCATTGCCCGATCTGAATTCAGTGTATCAGAGAGTAGTGCGAGAAGAGAGGCGCATCATCACAACGCGAGTGGAGGTGAAACACGATGCCGTCGGCTTCGTGACTCGTGCAGAAAATTCTCAGGTGGAGAATGGAGCTGTTGCTTCGGTGGGAAAAAGTCGAGGAGGTTCGGTGTGCTCTCATTGTGGTAGAACGGGACATGAGAAGAAAGAGTGCTGGCAGATAATTGGGTTTCCTGATTGGTGGACTGAGAGGAATCAAGGAGGAGACCGAAGTAGCCGAGGAAGAGGCAGAGGCCGGGGACGCGGACAAGCTCGTTCGAACGCAGTGCAGGGACCGTCTTCTGGTGGATCGAACGCTCCGCCTCTTACAGCCGAACAGTGGGTCTCATTGACAGCGCTTCTTGAACAACAGAGACCAACCCCAGTGCCAGACAAGTTGAATGGTAAGAAACAAACAGGGGAGGTAATTCTTGACACTGGTGCATCACATCACATGACTGGCGATCCGCGTTTGCTTAGCGAGTTGCGAGATGTGGTGGGATGTCCAGTAACCTTTGCTGATGGTAGTCAAGTTCAGGCTACCAGAAGTGGTGTACTGCGACTATCTGATAAGTTGATTTTGTCGCCTGTTTTGCTTGTACCCGACCTGAATTGCACGTTGCTGTCGGTGGCCAAGTTGCTTAAACAAACTGGTTGTTTTGCTTTGTTCTCTGATACACTGTGTGTTTTGCAGGACCGTTTTACGAGGACCCTGATTGGAGTCGGTGAAGAACGGAATGGTGTCTATGTTTATCGGGATGTCACAGTTAGGCGAGGTCTCAGAGTTAAAGCCGCGGAGGACAAAGCTTTGTGGCATCGCAGATTGGGACATCCTTCTTTTGGTGTTTTGAGTTTTTTGCCTTTTCTTTCTGGTGTTTCAAACGTTTCCGACAAATTTGGAGGATGTGATATTTGTTTCAAATCAAAACAAACTCGAGGGGTGTTTACCGAGAGTCTTAATAAAGCTTCAGTTCCTTTTGCATTGATTCATGTTGATTTATGGGGACCGTATCGTGAGCCATCCTCGTGTGGGGCTGTTTATTTTCTTACAATCGTCGACGACTACTCTCGTGCAGTATGGATACACTTGTTGCTTGAGAAGTCTGAAGTCAAAACTGTGTTACCAAACTTCTGTACCTTGGTTCAACGGCAGTTTGGTCACTCAGTTCAAGTTGTTCGCAGTGATAATGGAACTGAATTCGTGTGTCTGTCTAAGTATTTTGCAGAAAATGGGATCGTTCATCATACTTCTTGTGTCGCTACACCACAACAGAACGGTAGGGTGGAGCGAAAGCACAGACATATCCTAAATGTGGCGCGATCGCTTCTGTTTCAGGCCAATCTTCCTGTCAAGTTTTGGGGCGAAAGTGTCTTGACCGCTGCACATGTTATTAACCAAACTCCATCAAGCTTGCTTCAGGGTAAATCTCCATATGAGTTTTTATACGGTAAACGCCCTGCGTATGAAGGATTGAGAACGTTTGGTTGTCTGTGTTTTGCTCATAAGATGTCGCGAGACAAGGATAAATTCAAAGCTAGGAGTCGTCGATGCATATTTGTGGGTTACCCCTTCGGCAAGAAAGGTTGGAAACTGTATGATTTGGAGAGCAAGGAGTTCTTCGTTTCCCGGGATGTGGTGTTCAACGAAGGCGTATTTCCATATCTTGCGGATCCTGTTCAATCTACTGCAGTGCCGCCGGTGGTGTGTGATCTTGAAGACCCAGTGCTCGAATCGAGGGGGAGCGTCACTGATATAACAGAAGATGTCGTTGAGGAACCCGACGCCGATACTCCAGCTGCTGCAGTCGTTGCAGAAGCAGAGTCAGCAAACGAAACAGAGCCGATCGAAGCTGTGCCAGTACCGTCTAGTTCAGAGACTCCGGTAGCGGAGGTTCAAGAACAACATCTGGGGAGGGGTCACCGAGTTTCACAACCTTCCGTCAGACTAAACGATTACGTGCTTTACAATGCACACTGTCTTCCCGATAAACACTGCACCACTTCAGTTCATCCCGCTACTTCAACAGCGTCTTTGCAAAATGGTCCAGGTAACATCACTTCGTCCTATCCCATATCAGCCTTTGTTACTGATGCGGTGTTTTCTGAGAGACATCAAGTCTTTCTTGCAGCCATTACCTCGATGGTGGAGCCACGAAACTGGAAAGAAGCTATCAAGGATAAGTTGTGGAATGATGCGATGTCGTCTGAGATTGTTGCATTGGAAGGACAACGAACCTGGGATATTACAAATCTTCCAAGAGGGAAGAAGGCGTTGATTTGTCAATGGGTGTTCAAGTATAAGTTTAATGCCGATGGAACAGTGGAGAGACCTAAAGCGCGGTTGGTGGTTTGTGGGAATAGACAAGTAGAAGGTGAAGACTATGGCGAGACTTTTGCCCCTGTAGCCAAGATGACTACGGTACGAACACTTTTGGAGGTAGCAGCAGCGAAGAATTGGGAGGTGCACCAGATGGATGTGCACAACGCTTTCTTACATGGAGAGCTGGAAGAAGAAGTATACATGAGAATGCCTCCCGGGTTCTACGCGGACAAGCCAGATAAAGTGTGCAAGCTGAGGAAGTCTCTTTATGGTTTGAAGCAGGCACCGAGGTGCTGGTTTTCCAAGCTAACCACGGCTCTTAAGAGGTTTGGGTTCAAGCAGTCATATTCCGATTATTCCCTATTCACGTTTATTAAAGATGGGAAGAGCGTGCGAGTGCTTATTTATGTTGATGACTTGGTGATTGCTGGGAATGATTTGGATATGGTGAATAAATTCAAGGCGTATCTCAGTGTTTGTTTCAAGATGAAGGATCTTGGGAAAGCAAAGTATTTTCTAGGAATCGAAATCGCAAGGGGACCAATGGGTATGTTTCTTACTCAGAGAAAATACGCTCTTGATATAGTTAACGAAGCTGGTTTGTTGGGGTGTAAACCAGTGTCTACACCTATGGAGCTGAATCACAAACTTTTGTCAGATGAAGGACCTTTGTATAACGATCCTATTCGTTATCGGAGAATGGTTGGACGTTTGGTATACTTGGTGATTACTAGACCAGAATTGAGCTATGCGGTTCATGTACTATCGCAGGTGATGCAGAAGCCGCGACAGGCTCATTGGGAGGCAGTGATGAGAGTTTTGAAGTACTTAAAGGGGTGTCCGGGACAAGGAGTTATGTTGAAGGCAGTGAGTGATCTCCGTATTCGTGCGTTTTGTGACTCTGATTGGGCCTCATGTCCGCTGACGCGGAGGTCGCTGTCGGCATTTGTAGTGTTGTTGGGAGATTCACCAATCTCATGGAAGACCAAGAAGCAGAATACAGTGTCTCATTCCTCAGCCGAGGCGGAGTATAGAGCAATGGCAGCGACACTGCGTGAATTGAAGTGGCTGAAGCGCTTACTTGCTGACATGGGAATCACACATAAAGATCCCATGGATTTGTTTTGTGATAGTAAGGCTGCTCTTTATATTGCAGCTAATCCAGTGTTTCACGAGAGAACGAAACATATCGAGTCTGATTGCCATAGTGTTCGAGATGCCTTGCAAGATAAGCTGATCAGAACGCGTTATGTTCGCACAACGGAGCAACTCGCCGATATTATGACCAAATCGCTGGGGAGTCAAGCTTTTCACTACTTGCTAAACAAGTTGGGAGTACGTAATCTCCACTCTCCAACTTGAGGGGGAGTGTTAAGAGTATGTGTCGGTTTGAGTTGGTTTAGTAGGATAAGTATGGTTGGTTGTCGAGATAAGTATTGTGTATTAGTGATAAGGATGATGTAGATACTGTGAGATCTTGTAAGATCCTTAACAGGAGATATTGTGTATCGTGTATATATTGACGGCAAGAGCCCATGAATGAATACAACAGTTTACAGCACATTCTCNGTTTGAGTTGGTTTAGTAGGATAAGTATGGTTGGTTGTCGAGATAAGTATTGTGTATTAGTGATAAGGATGATGTAGATACTGTGAGATCTTGTAAGATCCTTAACAGGAGATATTGTGTATCGTGTATATATTGACGGCAAGAGCCCATGAATGAATACAACAGTTTACAGCACATTCTCTCTGTTCCTGAAATTACAGATTTAATATCCTATGCTCTTCTTAGAAATGTGAACAAATAGACTTAAACTATATCTATAATTCATTTCCACTATAAAATAGCTAACTTATTTTTTAAAAAGTAAACTGTAGTTGTGATTTACTAGTTAGAACGAGAATCTTTACAAAAGGGGAACACACATGGTATGTTAGGAGAAAGAGATTCGGGTTCGAACAATCCAACGGTCACAGTACAATCACAAAGAAAATTTCACAACCGTAGGATCTGTTCCCTTAACCACTTTGTAATGCCGGTCCTAATTAATTTTGTAGAAAATTAGAAAAACAACACCAAGCTTATGTCTCTCATGTGACCGACCACCGCATCCTCAGTTGACCTGTCTTTGCCCCACTTTGTTTCCCCACACAAACTGAAAAAGAAGACTTTAGATATCAAACGACTCCACGTGTCTATCTCTCATTGGTTTTCATAGGTTTGATGGTGTGGACCAACGAAACAACATATAAGAGCACGACGCGGTAGTACCATTACTACAACAATAGAAGTGTGTATGAGAAGAAAGTTCTCATATATCATAACTATAACGAATCATAAAAAAAAAAAGGTAAGAAAATGGAAGAAGGTGGACTTGAGCATGAGATAACTGAGCTCAGATTAGGTCTTCCAGGGAGAGATGTGAATGAGAAGATGATGAAGAAGAGAGGCTTCACGGAGATGATCATGACGTCTTCGGGAAGTAACAGTGAACAATGTGAAAGCGGTGTCGTTTCATCAGGTGGTGACGTGGAGAAAGTTAATGAGTCTCCGGCGGCTAAAAGTCAGGTGGTGGGATGGCCGCCGGTTTGTTCTTACCGGAGGAAGAACAACTGTAAGGAAGCTTCGACCATAAAAGTGGGATATGTGAAAGTGAGCATGGATGGTGTGCCTTACTTAAGGAAGATGGATCTTGGTTCGAGCCAAGACTACAATGATTTAGCATTTGCTCTCGATAAGCTCTTCGGTGTCCGCGGTGGCATTGGTTAGTAGATTAATTCTCTTTTTTTTCACTTAAAGTTGAATGGTTAGATCATGTGAAAGGAAAAAAATATATATTACGAGAGATATGGATTAGGAACTAAAGCATTTTCATACGTAAGAAGGCACACATATGGGAATGAAAACAGTTATAACTAGGTTAATTTCATCTTTTAATTAGGTTACATTTTTTTTAACCAAAAAAAACTATAAGAAGTAGGTTAATTTATTTATACATTGTGTTACCGATGTTGTTGAACTCTTCTATATCACGAGAGTTTCAGACTTGGTTGAGAATGGTCCTATAAATCTCTGATTGGTGAGTTTCAGCTAGCTTTTGATGATCTGACTTATTTTCATTGCAAAACCGTTTCATACATATTAATACATTGTAGAAAACATATACTATTCATTTACATTTCACTTCAGTTTTGGGTTAAAAGCAATCTCAAACTAGAGATTTTACACCAGAAAATATTGGACAAAAGTAAAAATTACATTTATATGTGCAGGAGTGGCCTTGAAAGATGGAGATAACTGCGAATACGTTACTATCTACGAAGACAAAGATGGAGATTGGATGCTCGCCGGAGATGTACCATGGGGGTATAATAATATGTTCATATCTTTTGACTTTAATAATATCTCAGATATGACACAGTTTAAATTAATGGGATCGGATATATTGATTTTTGCAGAATGTTCTTAGAGTCATGCAAGAGGTTGAGGATTATGAAAAGATCGGATGCTACCGGGTTTGGTCTGCAGCCTAGAGGAGTAGACGAGTGATATGATGACTTGAACGAGAAGCAAGTTCCTGGTTAATTATCTATCCTTTTAAGTATCAAGATCCCTTAGCACATTTTTTTCTATATATTCATGTTATATATGGTATGGTTTGTATAATTATATTCAGAAAGACAACTATATACAATACTTGTTTCTTGATTGTGGATTTAAGACGTTATCTATCAATACGTTTTTCTTGATATTTGTTTTTTTTTTTAACTTTTCAATATGCTTATAACGGCAAATTTATTTATTTCATCTTAATTCAAATTCAAAGTTAAGATTTGTTAATTTTTAGTTTAAACTTGTTCTTACTTTTCACTATTAAAAGATCCACTCTTTTTTTTTTATGATAACCATAGTTAGTATCAGTTTTATCAAACACACCGACATGTCGACCTTTTTATCTTATATATTGTCTTTCTGTAAAACGTAACTAAAAACTCAAGACTTTAGAGAAACTTGTGATATTTAGATTATGATACGAACCCATATGGTTTGTTACAACTATGACCTATCTGTGTTTTTGATTGGTAATGCCATGTGCACTGCATACCAGAAACAGCAAAAAATCAGCCCATCCCTTCCAATATTACCTTTTTGTTTGTCCGATTACTTTAAGCATACCGTGAAAATGATTAGAATGACTGTAAGGAAACACGTCATTTACCACTGATGTCTGCTTACTACTTAGCTCCAATCTGATTTCTTTGGTAAGAACCGCTGTGATCTTCGAGCGTGTGTCCGAATCTCTCACTCCAAGATTGGGGAATGTGAGCAAAACCTCAATGAAAGTCCTAATGATCAGAAATCCTCAAGCCCAAATACCACTAGACCAACATCTTTATCTCTGCTAGGAGCTAAATAATAACGTTAAAACGTGGATCTGTCCTTCAAAAAATAAAGATAACCTAGTGACTCCCAAATACTACTAGACCACCATCCACTTTGTAAATCTTAACTAATTTTTATAGTAGGTGACACCAATTTTTTCGTGCCATTTTAATCTTTAACCGAGATCATGTAATCAATGGAAAATAATAATGGAGCTTCTAAAAGTTAGGTTTTATTACAAGCTCAAAAGTGAACATGGCAAAGTAAAGGTAACAACATACCAACTAAAGAGCGAATCAACAAGTCCACAAATGATCAAATGAGATACAATTTTATTTACTTACAAAGGCATCATGAATTTTTAAAGGGCACAGTAGGCCTTGAGAGCAGACAGATCTCTCTTATTGGTGTCTATGTATGTAAACTTAAAGTAAGCCTCAAAATTAAAAGGCTTATAAAGACGAGGATGTTCATCATCCACAATCTCCTCAGGCGCATTTATGATAAGTCCTTCTTTAGGACGCAAGAACAGTCCAGCCACATACCGATCTTTTTTTCCGGTTATAACCACATGGTGAAGCGGAGGATGTACCCTACCATTCAACGACACCTACAAAGCCCATAAAGTAATATTTACGTTAATCACATAATTAAAGACTTGAGACTCAAGGAAACTTGATTTTACATGAAGAGAAGCTCCAGCCATAACAAGGAACGAAGAGTCTTGAGATGGCTTAGCTTTGAACCACTCTTCACCGTCTTTGGTTTTTACCTCCAAGCCATCTACTACGTCATTCTGGCATAGTATGGTGAGGAAATGCCTATCGATGTGAGAGTCAATACCTACATTTTCTTCTGTATCATCGTCAAGTCCTTTGTATTTAAATAAATGAAACCGGTTCTTGGCTGAGTTAAGGTGCTCCTCTACGTATTTCTCGAGCCCGAAACTTTCCATGAGCATTGTCCTCACCTTCACGTTTAGTTCTATTAACTTATCCGCAAACGACTGAACAGTATTGCTGAAACATATAGCAAATCTTAGTATTTTATTTATACGAAACAGCTGGCTTTACGAGTTTTAAATTATTAAACCAATATAATATATATATATATATATATATATATATAAACTAATGCTAAGTTAGATAGGCTTTCAACCTAAAATCAGTTGGCGATTATTGGAATGGCCTTAATCCTTTATATATTATTTAATGTCCCATTGAATTCCCAATATGGGATATATATCCCTAATACTCCTCCTCGAGATGATGGCTCTTATCGGCCAGAAATCTCGAAACTAAGACAGTTATACTTGGTCGAACGAGTCAAATACGACAATTATACCTAGTCGGGTTAAACACGACTTTTTTATACCCAGTCGAAAGGGTTAATCAATTAATTAGGAGTTTAGGGCTTTTAAAATGTGGGTTCTGATACCATATGTTAGATTCGAGTTTATTATGGGCTTCCAACTTATTACTAATTGGTGATAAGTGGACAACTGTGGGAATAACATCCACGGAGTGGCCCATCATCAGATGGCTCTGATACCATATTAAGATTGATGAGCTTCTAACTTAAAACCAATTGGTTATGAATTGGAAGCCCATGATAAGTCCGAATTTAATATGATATCAGAGTTCAAGGGTATTAATAGTGATGAGCCTAACTCACACCCAAAAGCTAACTCAAGAGTGGAGGACTGTCCATACACATATATATTGTCCAAGGACCATATTAATACCCGATATGGGATCTTAATAACCCCTCTCGAGATGTGGGTGGGAAACAATCCAGAGGGAGACATACCAAGCCCAACATCTCAGAAATACCACAACAATATGAGCTATTTTTACAGGCTACATAGATAGAAAACTATTTATGTGGGAAATCATATGTTGGGCCAAACCTGGCTTTGATAATATAATAATGATGGGCCTAACTCACGCACAAAAGCTAATTCAAGAGTGCAAGATTATCCATACACATATATATTACCCAAGTACCATATTAATACCGATGTGGATCTTAATAGCTTACAAGTATAAAACTCAAAACAAATATTTAGCTTGTAAACAAGTATGTCCCATATCATTGTCCTTATTTATTACTCTATATGTTTCATAAGGTAAGATGTTACGTCTATAATCACAAAATTAAGAATTTTTTTTTAGATAAAAAAAATTTAATAAATTATAAATGGTGATTGGTTAGCCAATATTTGTAGGCTCGTGTTAAAAAGGAAACACATTAACAAAAAATGAAAAATAATTTAACTAATCATGAAAATATAAATTTCAGTAAATTTTAAGGTTTAATAAAAATATCAAAACATCTTACATATCATAAATCTTATAAAACATCAAAAAATTTTAAACAGGAAAATACTAAAATCTCTACATATCTTCCGTGCTCCACTAGATATGATTTTTTTCTGCAATATATTAATTTATATTTAACATTTCAAATATTTACCATTGCTATATATTAAGTTTTATCACAACGAACAAATTATGGAAATATTTTTGAAATGGATTAGTTTATATTTACCATTTCAAAAATATTTCCACATACATGTTCATTGTGATAAACTTCGGAAACATGTGTCATGGACAAAACTATATAAGAAGGGAACCTGAAGGTGCTGTTCCCTTGTGGCCAAAGCTTGTGAGTCAAATAATTGACAACCTCAGGATTATCTACATCGTCAAAGCCCATGCCTTCGAATAAAGGCATACCCGGAACCTGACCAGAGTATCCATTGTTACGATTCTCTGACTTTGCACTCATTTTACTCTCCAATGGTAAATCAAAAACTTCCTGCGAGGCCTCGAACACATTCTTCCGTAGCTCCACTGAACCTCCATCGAACAAGGCCTCGAAACATCCAAAATCTTCTAAGGCTTTTCGGACTTGAGTTCTGACCGAGTCCCACTCGAGAGTCTCCGGTTTGAGGTTTGGAGCCGAGAAGTCAATGACCGGGAGAGAAAGAGGAAGACATTGGGGTTTTGAACTTATCGTCATTGTTCTTCTTCAGGAGTTAATAATGAAGAGTGTAGGTTGTCTTTTGTGTTCAGTCAAGGTTTAAGGACTCACTTCGTGTTATATTATCGAGACAGAAAGTCTAATCACTGGAGTAGAATCCCATTGTTTTTCTCATGTCATGAACCACGGGTCTTGATAAATAATAATGTTAAGGGTACCCTACAATTAATTTCCATGTTTCAGAATATTGAAATTAGGTAAATGACAACGAAGTGAGTTATCACACTATTAAATAGTGAAAACTTTTCTACTATGCTTTATTTTATTCTTGAGTGAAATTTAATTAGCTATTTTATTGAATGTATTTTCAAAGAATACACCTTTTTTCTTCTTGAACACTTTTAAAAAATATACCCATACATACATATTTGGTGCTTTTGTTCCAAACAATATTTTTCAACTACCTCATTTCAACTAAAAGTTATCGCATTGTTTTTAAATCCCCTATATATTAATTGAGAAACATTTGAAAAGATGTAACCTCAAGTTTGTATTAATTAAAAAGTAATCTTGCTTAGTTGTCAATCAATTAGCATATCAATTAAACTGACGTGGCAGCTTTAGGTTCAATTGAAATTTGCTAGGGAAAAATAATTAGAGACGCATATAACGCATGTAACATAGTTTATATATTTATATATATCGCACGCATGTAATGGAAGAAAAGGAAAATATACGATTTGATAACGATTTGCATATATTAACTATAATAACTTCATTCCTTTTAATTTATGGAA